CCTGTGTGTACATACTTGCCCAGACTGGTAATCAATGTACTAGTGGAAATCTTAGAAACTTGACAGGAATCTTTTGTGTGTTTTTACTAACAGGCTTTAGAAATATTTTTAAAGCAGATCAATTCTGGATGTCATAATTGGGTGCAGGGCAAGATAGAGATCATCAAATGAACTGTAGAGAATGACTACCCTCACTCGAATTTAGCTCATTTGAGAAAAGTTGCCTGAAACTCTTTCTATGCTATGAGAGTAAACATCTCTGATGCATTCTAGATAGCTCTGATGGGTTCTCCACTGCAACTACAAAGAAAGTTGTATTCCATTTAGTTTTATCAAAACAAACATTTTTAATGTGCAATAGTTACTTTTAAATAGTTCACACTTTTCACTATCATGGAATCTGAAAATAATGATTAGTTCGGTGAGTTCCATGAGGGATATAATTCCATGAGGAATGTATATAAGAATCTGTGCTTCTCATTGTGGGGAACACAAAGATGTGTAAAGACAAGGCATAAAGACTTGATCTTATTTTGGGGGAGGTAAATGTAGCATAGCAGAAAAATTATGGGCTTTGCCATCACATAGACCTAGATTTCAATCTCCCTTCTGCCACCTAACAGTTGTGTGACTTTGGGCCAGTTACTTGTCTCACTGAGTCTCAATTTCCTCTTTTACAAAATTCAAATGACTAGATACATACTTGCATAGGGTTGCTGTGAGGATGAAGACTTCATCAGAACTATGTTTAATAAGACACTGACAGAAAAATATAAGTTAGAAAATGATACATGCTACAACAAAAATTTTTCCTCACAGCAGGAAAAGGTAGTATTTACATAAAAAATATAATACTTGACCATACTTGTTTTCTGTTTCTAAAGAGGTTATGAAACTCTGAGGGATTCATAAATAGCTATAACTACATTACGTGTAGCATATGTGTTTTGGGTATTTATTCCCATGCGTTTTCTCAGTTAACACATGGTATCTCCCTTTAGGCTCTAAACTATAATTGCACATTTTTGGTTTGGTGTAATTTACCTTCATTTACAGAACATTGTTTTTATAGCATGGATCAAAGGCATGTATAAATGTTTCATATTTGAATAAAATTTCAATGCAGTTGATTCCAATATATAGCTGCCCAATTTTCAGGGCTCTTCAGTTACTTAAATAATTTCATCACGTGTTTTACTCAGAACTAAGGATTAATGTTTTTGTACTTATATACAGATATTTCTTTAAAAATTAAGATATTTGCACAAAAAATTTCTGTCGGGAGTATTTTCTGGTAATAGTGCCTAACTGCGTATTGTATGCTGATAAACCTTAGCTCCGTGTTTTCTAAGAAGGTGCCTCCAAGTCCCCTATGCCGGGTTAGATCCCTTTCCTACTTATTCCCTCATCTTGCAAACGTTTGCCTCCCCATTAAACTCTCTACTGCATGGAAAATAATGTCATATCCAACTTTATGTGTGTCATCCCTGACCGTAAGCAAGTGTGTTAGCTTTGTGTTTGGTGTCCTCCTGCAGAAATGACTGTAGTTGGCATTGGCCTGTGAACTAGAAAGCAGAAGCCATTGTATTAAAAATGAAGTTTCCTGGGCTAGGAACTTGGGTCTGCCACAAGGTAGGCAGCTCGGTAAACGTTTGTAGTTTCCAGTCGGGTGCAGCACTATGAGTGCTTTTGTGCTACTAAATAGGGCCAGGCACTGAAACAAGCTCTAAATCCCTTAAAGTTAAATCACCCTGAGCCATCCTGGCCCATCCTTAAAAGTACCAACCAGTGCGTGCTTTTTACCGTACCGGGAGCTTTCATTCATCTTTATTTCTCATAAATCCTCCCCCCCCAACCCCCTTCCTATTGTTTGTAGGTTTTGAATGATAGCTAAACCCTAGTGGGGATTGCTTATACCATGGGAGTCTCATGGAGTCTATAGTTAACGGTAATATGATTACTAATTATCACGAACCTTTTATTATTTAAAAAACTGAGTTATATTCTACGTAAAGTGCATAGCGAACACTAATCTTAAGTGTACAGCTCAATGAATCTTTACATATGTATACACCCCTGTAACTACCCCCCAGTTCCAGAAACAGAACGTTTCAGCTCCCATTGGACTCCCTCGTCTCTTCCCACAGAACGTGCCCCCATCCCCCAGAGGTAACCATTACTCTAACTTCTCTCACCATCGATCAGTTTTGTACGGAATTATTCCGGAGGAGTGGAAGATGGAACGATTTGGCCCACAATCCCCGGGGCTGGACAAAGACCCAGGCTCGGTTCCCTTCCTGCTGGGCACCCCGCGGAAGTTTCAGGGATCCACAGAGCAACTGCTCCGCTCTCACAGACCCGAGCCAGCCCCGCCAAGCCGGTAGTTCTCCGAGCGGATCCCTCACACCCAGCAATGGCCGGAGGGTCCCTAGACCCACCTAAAGGCGCACCGCGCCCCTCGCAGGCACTGCGGGAGCACGCCCCATGGCCGCACCGCCGTCCCCTGCGCCGGCCTGGCCGCATGCTCCCCGCCTTTCCAGTGGGCGCCCCTCCCGCCACGGGCAGCCGGGCGTGGCCCTGGGTGCGACCCGCCGGGACCCGAGCCACCAGAGAGGGCGCTCCGGAGCCCTGGATGTGGAGCGCACGCCCATTGGCTGAGCTTTCCCCCGCGGGCAGGCCGGCCGCAGCGCCCACCTCCCGGCCCCCTCTCCGCGCCCCCATTGGCCGTTCGCGTTCCACAGGCGTCCGCTCCCGCCCTACTCCCGCCCGGATGGGAACCTGGTTGGGGGTGGGAGCCGAAGCAGGGAGGAGGGTGAACGGTCCTCCTGGTAAAGGGGCACTAGAGAGCCAATCAGAAGCTGGCGTAGAAAAGAGGCGCCGCGCCAGCCAGTCACATCCCGAGGTGCGGTCGGGGCGGCTGACGCTAGTGGGGGCCGCAGCCAATGGGCGTGCCACTGCCACATCCAGGGCTACGGAGCGCCCTCTCTGGTGGCTCGGGTCCCGGCGGGGCGCACCCAGGCCCACCCCCGCCCGCC